AATTAGAAGTATAACAGTAACAGTGCTATGTTATAATGGTATAACAAATATGACAATAATTGTTAGTATACTCAAAAATAAAGAAAAAATTAAATATTATTAAAATTATTGTTAATAGAAATTTAAAAGTACAACTAAAAGAATTACTAAATTAAAATTTTTATTTGAAATAATGGAGGACGAGAGAAAGTAAATAAATAAGTAAATAGAAGAATATATAATAAAATAATAAAATAATGAGAGATTAAATGACAAAGCCGGAACTCCTCAAGAAAGATATGATTGAAATAATAATAAAGGAAGAACGGGAATTAAGAGTATTAGCTACGGAAGGGGGATTAATATTGTGGGAGGCTAAGAGGCTGAATAGTTTATTTCTGCTGTTAATTAGGGCAGGACAATCAAAGAGAAGATGAGAAAAATCGCATAGAGCTTCAGTATCATACAGGGGACAGAAGGGATCGGAATTTAAGGAAAGATGAAATGCATGGTAAGGCAGAAGATTATGACCTAACCTAAGTCTTGAGTACTGAGAAATTATATTTCTGGAGAAGTCAAGGTTATGAAACCATGGAGAATGTATAATGGATGGAGAAATCGAGCGGTACCAACATACCGTTTTCAATTTTATTGTAGCCCAACTGTCCTGCCAGGCTTGAAGAACTGTATGTCGAAAGAGGCGGAGAAAGTCAGAAGCGGGAATATTATGGCTAGAAGAAGTAAAGAAAGGGGAAGTAGAAGTAGCAAGACGGTCAGCTTTTTCGTTACCTAATATATTGGCATGGCCCGGCACCCAGTGAAAAACAATAGATTTATTTTGGGATCGAATTAAGGAGATAAGTGATCTAATAATAAGAATGTAAGGAGAAAGATGAGAGCAAAATGGATTAGAAGTGAGGGCAAGTAGGCAAGGTAGAGAATCAGAAAAAATAGCAAATTCATTAATTGAAGTAGAAGATATAAAAATGAGAGCATTAACGATGGCAAGGCATTCAGTGGTAAAAGAAGAAGAAGAAGGGTGGAGTGCAGCTGAGTATGAAATATTAAGTTCAGGAATAAAGAAAGAACAACCAGCCGAGTTAGTTGATACAGAACCATCTATGAATATCTGCATTTAGTTGGAAAATTAGCTGAGATATAATCTTTCAAGAGATTATTAACGGAAGTTGCAGGAAGTGAACGGAGGATTGAAGGAGGGAAGTCGAGGAAACACGTTAAAGTATACCCTATGGGAGCTATTGTAAGAGCCACTAGAGGACAGTCAAATAAAGATAATCTGGAGTGTGATTTGTAAATGTAACAGACCATGGGTGACAGAGAAGAGCATACTGAGGCTAAAATTGGAAGTGATTTAGGCACGTAGCGCCAGCAATTACTTAATTAGGAGTATAAGGAGAAGATATGATGGTTAGGGGTGGAGAGAGATTTTAGGAGAAATTTATTAGCAAGCAAGCGACAGCGGATTTCGTGGGGGGGGGAGAGGAACACTCAACAAAAATACTATGGCTGGGGTAGACTTAAGAACACCAAGAATGCTGCGCAAGCATGCGGATAAAAGAGAATTAAGTTTTTTCCTATGAGTGTAGGAAGCTGAAGAAAATAAAAAAGAGCCGTATTCAATTTTAGCGCGGATAACGGATTTAAAAATGAGAAGTAATGAGGAGGGATGAGAGCCCCAGGATGTACCAGTAATACAGCGTAGGAAATTTGCCCAGCGAGCAGCGGACGAGAGAATAAAACGGAAATGAGGAAGCCATCTCAGCTTAGGATCCAGTTTAAGGCCTAAATAAGTGACGCATTCAGAGGGGGGGATGGTTATCCCATCAAGAGTAATTATAGGGTAAACTGACGGTAAGCGTTTTCTCGTGAAAATTATTAACTGGCTTTTCAATGGAGCAGCCTCAAAATAATGAATTTGAAGAGAGTTAGAGAGGACGGCAAGTGAATTATTAAGGGAGTTGAGGGCATTATGAATGGATATATGAGAAGAAAAAAGAACGATGTCATCAGCATAGAAAAGTGAGAAAGTACCACTAGAGGTGAGGGAGAGGCTAATTTTGCTCATGTAAATATTAAAAAGAAGAGGACTAAGGCAGCTACCCTGTGGGAGGCCGCGATAGGAAGTGCGATTTAATATTAAACCGGAAGGAGAAGTGAAAGTAAGAAAACGTTGTGAGTAGAGACGTGAAATAAAATTACAAAGTGTAGGGGGTATAAAATAAGAATGTAAAAGGGAAATAAGGGTAGGAATGTGTACAGAATCAAAAGCACCTTTGATGTCAACAAAGACAGCGGGACAATTTATCACAAAATGTTTTGTATATACTGGCCGTTAGAGTGGATAAACACTCCATGGTGCCCAGCCCTCTCCGAAACCCGTATAAATTAGGGGGAAGACAGTTATTTTTTTCAAAAAACCAATCAAGGCGGTTCTTGATAATGTGTTCGACTACTTTGCAAAGAGAAGAGGAAAGAGCTATTGGGCGAAATGCAACGGAAGCTGAGTTAGATTTAGGGACGGGAATGACGTTAAAATTACGCCAAGAATCAGGAATAACACCTTGGGACCTTAAAGAATTAAGAATGACTAAGAGAAGTTCAAGGCAATGAAAAGGGAGATATTTTAGAATCAAAGGGGAAATTCCATCCAAACCAGAGCTGGACGATTTACGCAAATAGATTGCATAGGAAATTTCACTGAGTGTAAACGAATCATTAAGAGGATGAAAAGGGAGAAAATTAAGGAAAGGGTTAGGATCAAGGGTAGGAGAGGATTCTTCTAATGATGGGACGTAGGGGGGAGCAACCTTATTGCAGAAGGGATCAAACCATGACTCGTTTAAAGAGGGAGAATTTTTATATAGACAGTTTTTAAATTTTTTGGCAATAGTCCAGGTATTGGACAGACTAGAAGAAGGATTAAGTGAGGAACAGAAAGAGCGCCAGGACATAATTTTTGCTTGTTTAAGTGTTTTTTGAACAGAAGCGCGTACCCTTTGGTACTCAAAAAGTCACTTACCAGACTCGAGGATCTATATTTTTTAAAAGCTTTAGTGCGCTCATTGATAGCGTAGGTGCAAGAGGAAGACCACCATATTGAAGAGGAGGGAAAGGCCTTTTTGTTTTTTTTTTTTTAAAGGAACAGATAAATTAACTGCTCTAATAATTGTAGACACGAACCAGTTGTAGTCCTCAATGGGAGAGGAGGAGGAAAAATTAGAGGTGAAAATGGTCATGTAATTTTGAAAAGTTGGCCAATCAGCTTTCGAATAATTAAATCTGTTAACAACGGTGTGAGAGGAAGAGGGAGAGGGAGTGGGAGAATTTGTGTGAGAAATAATGATGGGAAAATGATTACTACCATGAGTGCAGTCTAGGACAGACCATGACAACAACAACGAGAGAGAGGGAGATGAAATGGTTAGGTCAACAGCGGAATCCATTTGGGAAGGGCCTGTAAGAAGGATGGGGAGTCCTGTATTGAGAATACAAAGATTATAGGCAGAAATAGCAGACAAAATAATGTTACCACGATGATTGGAGATTAGTGCACCCCAGGAGAGATGGTGACCATTAAAGTCACCGCCTATAATAGAATTACAAGAAACTAAAGAAAAAATTTTATCAATTAGTATAGAAGGAGGGTGGAAGAGGGGGAATGTAAATAGACCAAATGGCAATAGGATTGGGTAAATTAGTAAACGCCTGGATACCGACAAGATCTATAGAATAATTAAGAAGCGAGATTTTTAATACAGGATCAATAGAAATAGGGTTAATGTGGATAGAATGATGAGAGGCGATGGCTACGCCGCCAAAACCGTCGATACGATCAGAGCGATTAATGTTGAACTGTGGAAGATAAACACGTTTATTTGAAAGGAGCCAAGTTTCAGAAAGGAGAGCAAAAGAACATTTATTATTAGAGAGAAGAAAAGAGAGATCGTGCATTCTAGGGGATAAACTTCTTACGTTCCATTGAAGAATATTGAAAGAAGGAAAGTTAGGATTACTATTAAAATGTGTCATCATTGTCAGATAAAGGATAGTGGATGTTAGTTAATGAAGATTCTATAGTTGATTGAAGTATTGAAGGAGAAGAAATTAAATTAGGATCGCTCGCGAGTAGCTGAACGATATGTTGCGATAAGCAGGAAATCCAGTTGCGGTCATCAACATTAGTACTACGATTTTGGGACATGTATTTTAAAAAACTGCCATTAGGCGAAATTGGCCTAGAACAGTCATTTGGTAAAGGAGGAAAGTGGGGGGAGGGGACTTGAGTTTTATTACTTTTTTTCTTCTTTTGTTTATTTGTATATGTATTAGTAGAATGACTAAGGGAAGGAAAGGAAGGAGAAGCTACGACTTCGACACTAGATATATTTGTATTTTTAGCAACATCAGAAAAGTTAAAAGCTTTATTAACTAAACTGGAACGTTTGATCGAGGAGGCTTCAGAAAATGAGACATTGTTTGTGGCCATTATCTTTTTAATGTCCTTTTGCACAGACCATTCGCTGCAAGATCTATCCGTCGCAAGGTGGTTCAGTTTACAAAAAATGCACGAAGGAGGTGTGGTTAACTTGACGTTACAATTAGATTCGGTGTGGTCAAAGAGACCGCAGTGACTGCAGCGCTCCTTACTGCGACAGAATTTAAGGGTGTGACCAAAACGTAAACACTTGCGACATTGGACAGGAGAACGAATACTCGGAGAGACATCAAAAATAACTTTGTATATTGATAATTTTTGAGGAAGAGTTGCTGACAAAAATTTAAGTTCAACTAAATTTGAAGAAACGAGGATGTTATCTTTTTTTATATTAATGAGTCTGAATGAAATAACTTTGACTGAACATTCATAACCTTCCCAAAAGTCTTCTTCAGAGATACTTTTATCAAGACGTATTATTCCAATACTATATAGTAAAGTACTAGGAATATTCGCAGAGTAGCCGTGTTCAGAAAGAGAAGGGGAAGTGAGACAATTGTTGGCGTTATTAACCGACTCAAACGTGATTTTCACACGCTTAGAACCGATAGGGTTTATGCTCAGAATACCAGGAAAAAGTTTGGAAAAAGTTTTACCGAGCTTAACTGGGTGAAAATTACCTAAGTTATTATCACCAGATGCAGAAACAAGTACATTAAGGGGACCAGTGTAGTGTAGTGGAAAGCATTCAGGAACATTGGGTTGCCTGACTGTTGAAATATTAGGAGAATCGACATAGAGCGAGTTTATGTTTGAAGTTGGCGAACCGGGTGACGTCACAACGATGACTTCAGATGAGCAACAACCATGCTGAAAGTTTGAGATTGGGGATCATCGGATTTTGATTTACCGTCAGATTTAGGTTTTTTGTGTAAGGGGCTAATTGGCGATTTAGAGCCTTGATTGTTCTTACCAGAATAACGCGAATTATCCATGGAGATTTGTGGGTTGGAAGATTGCAGAGTGCTTCTACGGCGCAATGGGAGGTGATGCTGATCACCACCTACCGGATTAGGTCTGGATTGCATCCAGAGCCCCGGCGGACACAGTAAATGTGCCAAAAAGGTGGAACTATGGATTCAAAACTAAAAAAAAACTATGAATAACGGAATAGTACTCTAAAAATAGGCGGGTAACTACAAACGTACGCGAGATAAACACGTCCGTACAATACGACCGATAAATCGTGATTGAAAAGTTAAGTTGAAAAATTTCATTTTTTGTGAAAAAGTTGTCATTTTAAATCCCCTTCTGTGGGCAGATAAAGGGTCAAATTTACAAAAAAAATATACCAAATGATAGGTAAAGACGTCAAGCATCTATAAAATTTTTTTATTGATTATATTGATCCATACATTTTTCAAAAAATTATAGTACTATAAAGTTAAAAATATAAAAAAGAATTTGTTTACAGAAATCGTATTATTTTTATCAACTTTAATGTATGTTTTCACCATGAAGACAAAATAAAGTCCGACATTATTTTTTCCATAGTAAAGTATATGCTTTAAATTAGCTTTAATTTAAGATATATATATAAATGTCAGACATTCCCGAACAATTTCAAAAGTTCTACTTTCTATATGCATTTTTCAGATTTTAACCCCTGCCCCGTATAATTATATTGATATAATCATTATTGAAAAAGTTCTAACAGTGTTAAGTAAAATAAATAGAAAAAATTTCGAAAATTAACAATTTTAGCTTCGATGCGAAGCTGAGAAGGTATTGGTTTTACTATTATGTGTTTTTTTTTTTTTTGTGTCTGTTACCACTTTTTCTCAGCTCTCACCGAACCGATTTTTTTCAATGATACGTCAAAAGATCACAAATCGTATCTAGTCGAAGACATTACCCTCAAAAATTGAAAAAAATTCCCTCGTTCCCCGTAAATGGGGGAAACCTCCGAAAAAATTACAAATTTAAAAATGGCTAATTTTTTCAATTTTTTCAATTTTTTTTACTAAAAACTGCCGTAACTTTTTTAAAAAGAAACATATCAATATAATTCTTTTTTTTATATATGCATGATGTCATTACCTATCATTTGGTATATTTTTTTTATAAATTTGACTTTTTACCTGCCTACAGGGGGGGATTCAAAATGACAATTTTTTCACAAAAAATTGACTTTTTCAACTTAACTTTTGAAAGTGTTCTGGAAAGTCTGACACTTTTGTATATATCTTAAATGAAAGCTAATGTAATGTACTTTATTATGGTAAAAAAAAATTTCGTACTTTATTTTGTCTTCAGGGTGAAATTGGCTACCAAATGCTATTATTGTGTGAAAATTCTCGATTTTATTTTTTTATTTTTAACTTTATAATGCTATAACATTTTGAAAAGTGTATGAATCAACATAATTTTTTTATGAGAAATAATATTTTTTAATAATTCCTCTTTCATTCGATATACTTTATCTGAATCAGGATATTAATAACGAACTAGCAGATCATGTTGCTTTTGGAATAATCTACCTATTTTTTAAAATTAAACACTATCTAAAGATTTGCATCGAAGCGTTTTTTATGATAGTGATTTTAATCACTGTCAGATATCATTATACTTGATCCAAATATGTCACGTCACCACTGTGCCGCGACCCCCCTGTGCTGGGTTTTTTTAAATTTGTAATTTAATGGAAATTTCTCCCATTTACGGGGAACGAGGGAAATTTGTTCAATTTTTGAGAGTAGTGTCTTCGACTAGATACGATTTGTGATCTTTTGACGTATCGTTGAAAGAAATCGGTTAGGTGAGAGCTGAGAAAAAGTGGTAACAAACACACAAAAAAAAAAAACACATATTAGTAAAATAATACCTTCTCAGCTTCACATCGAAGCTAAAAATTATCTTATACTTTTAAAAATATTGAGCGAAACATTTAGCGGATTTACAAATAAAATACTAAAATACTAGTGATTGGAAATATTGAATAGTAACTATCGAACTTTTCGATAGTCATTCAAAAACTATTCGATAGTCTATGCTAAAAATAAACTATTCGATTGTATAAACATAATTTGAATAATTAATCGATAGTTTAAAATATTTGAAAATGCCCTTCACTAATTTTTACTATTATTAATTGTATAATAATTTATTTTAAGTATTCGTTATCTTCTTATTATAATTAAGTATACTGAATAAAAAATTAGGTAGAACTAATCGAATATTTTTTGAAACCATTCGGTAGCCTATTTGAATAGTTTGTAAAACAATTCGATAGTTTAAGCTAAAAATAAACTATTTGGTTGTCGATAGTTTAAAATATTTGAAAATGCCCATCACAATAAAATACTATACGCTGACTCTCATTTCCAGTGATGATTTATTTTGTCTGTGTATCTTTAAAAAAAGATTTAAACGATTTGAAAACACGTATATTGATATTAAAATAAAAATATATATAACAATCATCATAGATCATAGAGAAATATAAATTATAATTATGACGATTATGGCGTAGATTTAGTGTACTTTTATGAGAATGGAGAAGTGGTAAATACAGAGTTTAATATATCAAATAAAATAAAAAATAGCACACTAATAACAGCCAATAATATAAAATATCGAAATATCGATACATAAAAAGCATAGATGCTATTTTTCAATTATATGTTGAATAATTATATTACGATAGCGGAATATAATTATTCAATACTCATATACCTAGCATTCATATAATATATCTCTGTGAAGTTGCCCCTTCTTAATGGAATTCATATCGATAATAGGAAGGATGAACGTATCAAAAATATACTCTAGTTTATTTTGTTTCTAACCATGATATCGTTATCATTAGTAGTGTTATCATCATTAAAATATTCTTACATTTATGAACAATCTGTGCATTAAACATTAGCTGTAAGTAACGTTATCACAATGCGTCCTTCATAATGCTCAGGGGCTCTTTGATCTACCTTGAATATATTAATTTAGATAAAAAGAAATTCATTGTAATTTTATGAAAAATACGGTACGATTGTAGTTAGTGCATTTATTTAGTTAACCTTGAAATCAAGTAAAATATTAGTAACGTAACTAATCCATTTTATTTATTAAAATGATTTAATTATATAAAATTTACAGTAAAATAACAGAAGTTAAATTTTTTTTAGTAAGTTGAGTATAGCAACAATAATTTATGTAATATTATCAAATAAACATTGCATAGGTATGGCATTGGTTGAAGGATTTGGTGATGAAGTAATACAATTTTTTGCTATTTTATTTCTTGTCATTCTTATTGTATTACTATGGATGTCCACTCAAGTAGCAGAAATGCAATTATTCCGTGGAGCTGTGTTCATATTAGAAAGACGTACAAGACGACGGCATCATGATGCTGACAGACCAACTCCTGTAATTACTTCTCAACAAGCTGGTAAAGTTATAACTCATTAATTATACCTTTATATATATATATATATGATGGGTTGATTTAATTAGTAAAATTAATTCTCCTTAATTAATTAAAAAGTAGTTTTACTATCTGATTATGATATAATCAAATTAAGTATCAGATATAAGTTAAAAGAAATTCTTTTAAAAATTATTCTTTTTCTTTATCAAAAACTATAAAAACCTCTTCTATTTAAAGATTTTTTATGATGATTTTGTAAATTATGTATTTATTTGTATGTATTATGCTAAAAAAGTGTTAAAACTACAAAAATCATCTGTGGCAACTTTAAAAAAAACAAAAGTTACAGCAAATGAAGTTCGTGGAATTGGCTTAGTAAAATTTAATAATAAGAAACCCTGTATAGCAGGGATCTGACACATGAGGTTAAAACCAGTATAGAATGTTTTTAAAAAAAGTATTGTAAAATTTCATTTTTGGAAAGAGAATAGTTTTATCTAGAGTATAATCTGAGCATCATTTAATACTAATCATTCACAATAATATTATTTTATATAACAATATTGTTTGATTTTTCTTATATTGTATTATAATATTATAATTTATACAATATTGCTATTGTATTGAATAATAAATTTTGTATCATACATTTATATGAATATGAATATAAATATAAAAATATATTTTATGACATTAAAATTGTCCTTTTTGACCAAAAAAAGTTTTTTGTACTTTAGGAAAAAATAACTTTTAGGTCACCAATTTCTCATTGAAGACAGGTAATGGGAAGGTTCTTTTTTTACCATGGAGTTGTGAAAGTATTCTTTGGATATAGGTTAAAGCAAGTACTTGCAACTCGTGGCCTGCATATGACCCATGAAATGCATTTCTAAAGTCCACCAGTAAATTTATTACAATAATTTTAATTTTTGTTTTTTGTTAGTAAACTGACATAATTCTACATCATTTTGTGACATACTAAGCCTTGCGACCTACGCCACCATTGTGATACCTTTTAAATATTGTCTCGTCTTGCCTCTATGCATCATATTGATGACCCAATATACCGACTACTACATTTGGTATTATTTATTTATTCAGTTTTCCGAGTTACATAATTATGCAGTTTAATTTTATAATTAGAGTTATTTTTTTTGTTAAATTAACCATTCTGCTTTTAAAACTTTTGCTGCCTAAATTTATTGAGCACATCATCATTATATCAAGTTGTATCAAAATTTATAAGAATTGTAATTTATTCAAACAAAATATTTATTTATAAAATTATAAAATATATCATGAAATGAGGGACTGTTAGATTTAATTAGTGAGAAAGAGGTATGGGAGGCTGTGGTATCAATGAAAAATAATAAAGCAGTGGGACCACATGAAGTGCCAGTAGAAGTATGGAAAATATTAAGTGGTGTTGGCATAAGGTGGTTGAAGGAACTTTTAAATAAAATCTTATTAGAAGGGAAAATTCCAAATGAATGGAGGAATAGTATTGAAAATAACATACAGGAGTGTGGAAATTATAGAGGCAAAAGCTTATGAGTCATAGTATGAAAATTTGGGAAATGGTAATAGATAAGAAAATGAGAAATGAGACACCGGTGTCTAAAAACCAGTTTAAATATTCTATAAGAATTTCATGATAACTTAAATAGCGAAATTACTCTTTGATGTCTAAAGGTATTAATCCTAGTTACATTAAGTTAATATTTTTGTAAAATTAAAAATGTTCGAACTTGTTTTAATTTAGTATATTTTTAATTAAGTACTTACCGCCCATACTTAGACTAGACGAGTCTAAAGATGAAATAATTCAGAATTCTGATAGGTAATTTTTTAGCATTAATTTTTTGTATGTAATTAATGTTAAGGCAGAGATTTGTATTTATTTTTGGGTTTACTGTAGTATTAAACATGTTAACCTGTTCTAAAAAATATCTTACAAAAGGTGAAATCTGTTCACTCTTATACATTAAATTATAATTTGACTTATAACTCATTATTTATTCTAAAAAAAGCAAAAATAGTTACACAATTAGTTTTAAGTGTTTTAGTGAGTGATGTAATTGTAGCTACAGAAATAAAATGAATTTAATCTATTTATATTAATATTTATTGTTATTATTTTTAAATAATTATTTTCAATTTAAGATATCTTTAAAATGTTTATGTTCAACTGATCAACTAATTTTTATGTTACTTAGCTGTAACAGCTGAAGAAGTATCTTCAAATTCAAGTACTTCAAATTCAATAAATTTAACAGATGAAAATAACATTTCTCAAATTAAAAATGAAAATACTACAGCTAAAAATAATGAAGTGACAATAAATGAAACAGTAATACAATCTACAAATTCTAGTCAAGAAAGTTGTGATGATAATAATGCTTGTGAATCAGAGACTTCCAAAAACTCTATAAGAATACGTCTCAAGTATTTAAATGATGACTGCCGCCTTGTTGAAGGTAGACTTCAAGAAAATATTGGTGTATTTAAAAGGTAATAAATTTCATATTTAATTTTTTTATGACTAAAGTTTGAAATTTGATTTTAGGAGACATTTTAGTAGTGAATTATCTGCTAATAAAATTGTACGTCTAATATTTCAAGGCAAAGTATTACATGACGATGAAGCTTCTTTAATTAGTTATGGTTTACATGATAATTGTGTTGTGCATTGTTTAGTACATCAACCCAGATCATCATCAAATGCTCAACAATCATCTGATCCTATAGATCATAATACCACTGAACAACCTCAGACTAATGTTGGGCATCTTGGGCCACGTCAAAATGGACCAGTCCAACGTGAATGGAATTTGGCAACGCTATTATCTGCATTAATAACAATTATTATTTCATTGTTGTGGTATGCAAGACTACAGTTTTATACATTATTTTCATACACATCTACAGGCACCTTAGGAATATTGACTGGTATATTCTTGTTCACGGCTTTTCTTACTTATTTGGTGGATAATGAAGAACAACAGCAACAACGACAGCCAGCTGGACAATGAAATCTGTCAAAATTTATTTATTTGTGAAAGATATAGATAAAGGTTTTATTAAAAAAAAAACTTGTTAAAGTATTAAATTAATAAAATAGTGATTTTCAATTTCATTTTGTTTTTATTAAATTTTAAATTACGTCTATTCTTGAGAAATTCAATTTGCACATGAATAGACTTTAACTTTGAAAACATTTCTAATGAACTGTTATTACAATCTTGACTTTTTTTAGTTTTTACCAAAATTATTGTTGGTTTGTTAAAAATATATATATAATTGAAGTAGGAACTCCCTTATTCTCTTACATTTTCATAATGTATATTATACTAATAATTTGACTTAACTGTGAATATTTTGTAAAATTTAAAGAAATTAAAATATGTTATCAGATATAACAAAGTATAGCTATAGTATTTTCATTATGTTTTATAAAAATAAACAAAATTATAGCAATTACCTATTTTTATTTAAACCATAATAAAGACTGGAGTAGCCACTTTAGTATACTGTAACTACTTTTTATTTGTCATTAAATTCAAGAATGATGGACCATTTCATAAAATAAATTCTAACACTGATGTAATGTCACTGGCATAATATGAGTAAAAATTGATAGGTCGAATATTTCTTAATATATTCAGAGAGAAAATGTAGCCCTCCTTTATATGAACCTAGCACTAGTCAAGGAAGACATTGATGTAGATATAGATTAATATGAAGTTTTAGGGAATGTTGATCTATAAATATTTATATTTTGTCAATGATATTAATATAAAATTTTATTACTCTAAGATAAATAAAATCAATTGATAAATATTAAAAAATGTTTCGACCTATTAAGGGTAGATTTATTTAACGAATATACTGTTATGGATCATAGCACAATACATCAATCTTTATCTGCTAATTAATTTAAATTTAATTGTTTTTTGAAAATTATATTTTTATTTAATAAATGAAATATTTATATAAAGAGTTAATATTTTCAAAGATCAAAAATTGTAATTGAACAATTCATAATCAGTAAAAAAAGAACATTGATGTTACATTGGAGCCATCATTAAGCAGATACATTAAATAGATAAATTTCTTATCAAGTATAAATGGTATTTCCTGCGTTATGAGCAAATAATGTTACTGTCCGAGTTTTACGATTAATTATTAAATACACAAAACTATTTTGAAAATGGTCTGTAAATCCTTTAGGATACACCATGTCGTCTTTTGAATTAAATGCCATTACATTGTACACTTTTGATGCCACTAATATTTTATTGAACTCCAAATTTTTTTCAACTCTAAATTAAAACAAATTGGACCATATTAATGGCGTCATGCATTGTATATTTAAAAAATATTCTTATAAAATTCTTATTTTCTCTTGATTAGTCAGTTTAACTCTGACGGAAATAGAGGGATTTAACCACTAAAAATTTAATAAACCTCGATTTTTTTAATTTTGTGTTACAACAAAATCATACATTTTTGGTTATTTGAACACTAGCTGAGATGCGAAGCTGAGAAAGTATTAATTTAACTATGTGTTTTTTATTATTTTTTTGTCTGATACCACATTATCTCAGCTCTCACCGAACTGATTTCTTTCAACGATACGTTAAAAGATCACAAAAACGAAGACATAAATCTTAAAAATTTAAAAAATTTCCGTTGTTCCCTGTAAATGGTGGAAATCTCCAAGAAAATTACAAATTTAAAAATCGCTAATTTTCAATTTTTTTAAACTTAAAACTGCCATACCTTTTTCAAAAATGACCAAATTAATATAATTTTTTTTTATAGATGTATGATGTCTTTACCTATCATTTGATATATATTTTTTTTAAATCGGACCATTTCCCTTAATACAAGGGGGGTTCAAAACTTAAAAATGCGTATAGAAAGTAGAACTTTTTCAACTTAATTTTTTAAAGTGTTCTGGATATACTGACACTTTTTATATATATATATATATAAAATTAAAGCTTATAGAATATAGTTTATAATAATAATAATAATAATGTAATATATTTATATATATTACACTTATTATATATATTTATTCATATATTACACTTATAAATTATAAAACTTTTATTTTGAAATTTATTAAAAATTTGACCCTTTATCTGCCCACAGAGGGGGATTCAAAATGACAACTTTTTTACAAAAAATTTACTTTTTAAAGTGTTCCGGAAATACTGACACTTTTATATATACCATAAATTAAAGCTTTTGTAATATACTTAATTATAAAAAAAAAAATTTCGGACTTTATTTTGTCTTCACAATGAAAATGGCTACTGAATGCTATAACTTATTGAAAAGTGTATGGATCAATACAATTTTTTTATGAGAAATAAAATTTATATCCCCCTTTCATTGGACATACTTTATTTTAATCGAAATATAAATAAGGAAATATGACATTACGTAGCTTTTGGAATATTCCACCAATTTTTTAAAATTAAACACTATCTACAGATTTGCATGTAAGTGTTTTTTATAAAAGTACTTTTAATCAACTATTCCACGTCCCCACTGTGCAGCATTTTTAAAGATTGCTTCACAAAAATTTTTAAATTAAAATTAGTTTTCTAATATATTATTTTTAGTTAAAAAAATATTTTTAATGTATAGATAATATTGGCAATTGTTGATAACCTGACAAAAATATACGAATTTTCTGTTTTTTTCTAAATGTTATTACTTATGTCATTATGTATAATGAAGCTATTGATTTAATTGTAATATTATAGATTTAATGTGGTATTATTACTGTAATTTTTATAACTTATATTAAATGAGCAAGGAATGCACACAATGGGAGTGTGTGAGGTAAAGCGCTCATGCTATATTTATATAAAAAAAAATATTAGTTCCCTCAAAATATTTTCCTTATTTCCGCATATGTAATCCACCTTAGCTGTCAGCTATCTATTGTTAGTTATTAGTTTATTCACTTATAAATAAATTTCTATCTCTAAAAAGATAAATTTATTTTAGTGCTAGGAAAATTCAACAAAAATCTCAATGGGACACTCAAATATACGTGATAGAATAATTCAATGTTCTTACGAAATTAAATCTTTATAAATATTTTTTGTTGTATTTAAATATGGTTCAATGGTAACATCATCTTGACACCACGTTCCACCAATTACAAAATGGGTCAATAACTTGAAAATGAATTCTTCTCGTTCTTCGCTGTTATACAAAGAATATTCTTCGCATTCGTCATCTAATAATACCTAAATATCAAATGTAATTTTACGATTTTTTATTAAATGTTACAAAAATATTGTAATTGAACCTTTTTTAAAACATTAGTTATATAAATTCCATTTTTCGAGACTTCCTCACACTGTCGGATTAAAGTATTTCCTTCTCTATCTTTACCATGAGAAACGATATTATTAATTGGATTTAATAGTTTATCAAAGAAATCCATTGAAGTAATGACGCAAGAGATTTCTTCTACTTTAACTCTTGTGATTTCGCAATCTATAGAATAAATAAAATTTTAACTTAACAGACCTATTATAACATTAGATGGGTTAAATAACATTATAATATATAAAAACATACTTGCCTAATAATATATTAGGACTGGTTTGTAATAAACAAGTAACATTTTTGTCTTGAAAAAAATCCTAAGAAAATCATGTTTAAGTTAAAATTGTGTAGTTGTAATTTTAACAAAATAAGCTTTATAAAAAGAATAATTTTACACATACATTAATAGTTCAAAATTACTAATTTTAATTTTAAAGGCGTATTTTAGTATAGTAATTAATACTATTATTTATTTTAATTTAATATTCAGTAAAAATTTTAAAAATATGCAATTTTTCTATTTTTTAAAAATTGTTAATTATTTGTTCATAGAAATTGTAGTTAAAAAATACAATTTTAACACATAGTTAAAAAATTATTTACGTTAACTGATGTCTGCAAACTTTTTATTAATTAACAAAAAATAGTATACGATTTACTTAAAATTAGTGGAGAATCAAGTAAAGGTTGGGTTGGCTTCAATGGTCTCCTTAAAAAGTTTATATATGTAAATTTATAGATATTAGACTATATCCATATGCTCGACTATAGTAAAATATTTGAGGGTACCAATTGTAATTTTCCCTTACCCTAAAATATACTTTTTATTACTATGTACGTAATATTCTATTATAAAAGAAATTTAAACATTTTCTTTTTATAAATTTAATATAACACATAATTCTATAAAACACATTAAAATACGTTTTTTTTAAATGGCAATTCCAAATCGGTAACGGAACAGAAGTAGGATGTAGAAGGGCACTTCTTATTAAACTATCGTTGCTCACAAAAAAAGTTCTTATGAATGAAAAAATTGATTTAAATGAAGGCCATTTAAACAATCATAGACAGGAATTGGAGAGATATATAAAAGGCTTTATCTCCACCTCAGAATTAAAAATATTATTGTATAAAAAGAGGATTTTTAAATGTGGGTAAACAAATTTAGGCTTTCAAAAATTTTATTTTACTTCAGTCTAATAAGAATAACGTTTTTAAAAATAAAAATTGTTGTTCTAACTAGTATAAACTGATTCACGTCACTATCAGAAAATTCTTGATTAAATGCATAATAAGTAATTTGCAAACATTTCTTCATTGACCTATAATAATAGATAAAAAATTAATGTAGGTACAGTTAAAACATTGCAAATAATTTTAAAAAATCCTTGTATAAAAAGGATAAAAAATGGTTTTTAGATATTTAAAATTTTTTAATCTATTTGAAGTCATTTAATACCACTTAAATAATAAATCTTGAGTTTCTGTTAAGTTTAAACCAGATGATTGCTTGTTTGATAGATGATAAAAAGTATATTTTGAAGACATATTTCAAAATTTTTCTTGACATTTAATAAGATATGTAGTAATTTATACCTAGTAATTTAACTAAACCTACATTAACAAAACATATTCAAATTATTGATAAAGTTTATTATAGGTACCATGGAAATTTTAGTATCATTCAGTTACTATAGTAACAAAAAATAATTGATGTACACATAAGAATAATGCAAGGAAATTAAGAACCATATATACTTAGATTTTAAATGTTATAATTTAACTAGTTGGAAGATATGTAATTTTAATTATATTTTAGTAAGGTATTCATTCAAAATATTTAGTTATCTCAAAAAAAAAAAAAAAACAAACAAACAAACAAAAGGAAGATAATAAAAATATACATAAAAGTAAAATAAATAAAATTTTTTTAGTGTTTTATTATTTTAAATAACATTTATTGTTTTAAGTAAATATTTCTTTACATATTTTTTTCACTGAAATTTTTTATAATTACGTAACATATTTACTTCAAAAAAATATTACTACATCATTACTTTTTGATACTTAGTTGGTTTGATTGCTTATAATGAGTACAAGAAGTTAGAAAGTAAATTAAAATATAGAATAGTTATTTATTTATTAAATCATTGTAATTTAATTGAATAACATGAATTTATTTCATAAAAATATGTTTTTTACAATATATCACGGTGATCCAACTATATTTTATGTATAGCAAATAAACATCATTAATAGTACTAAAAATATAACAAAACTTTAGCTAAACATGTAATAGCTAATCAAAATTAAACTAAAAAAAAAAGTGAACTATTTAATTGTTTACTAAATAGTAAAAAAATATGAGAATATGCAATGTGTAGTTTTAGCACCAAAACTGAAAATATTGTGTACTAAATACTTTATTGCTTTATTTAATTTTTGTTATTAATTTAACATTTTTTTAAACCTTTAAAACCCCGTGCAAGTAAGTATTTTTCTGCCGAATCTGATCGACTTGCTTCGGGTTTTACATATTTTACAGTTGAGTAGAATTTTAGCATAGATTTTTCTAGTTCTTTATTTTGATTGCCATCCCAAATTTTGACCAAACAGGTTGAACCAATCTTTGAATTAATAATGGAAAATCTATTTCCAAATTATTGAAATGGTAAATTACCAATGCATTATTATTACATTAAGTTAAAAAAAAAGTTAGATTTACTTCAGTACTGAATATGCCATTTTTATTATCAAATCATGGTCTAGATGTTTAACACCAGTAGCATTTGGAGCCATATCACTCATTACTACATCTAAAAGTTGTCCACACAAAATTTTATTTATTTTTTCCCATGTTTTAGTTGATGTAAAATCACAGTTTCCCAATAAAATTGCTCCATTAATAGGAAACATTTGTTGAAGATCAATTCCAATCATTAAACCAACAGGTAGTCTATTACCTTTAAAAAATAAATAAATAAATGACAAAAAACATTTAATTGGCTTGTAAAATAAGTATTAGTTATCATCAAAATTAAATTAATTAAAAATAAAGGAATGCTTGATATTTATAAAAATATATAAAGTAAATTATAACCTTTATTAGTGTTCTACAGAATACTATTAAAGATCACAAAGCAGACATAATCTCCAAGTCTCACAGACTTATCTGTCAGGGAAATATTAACTACTAATATTATCAATGCAATAGGTTTCTGAAACTCAATACCATTAACAAATACATTAAAAATGAATTATTCTACCTTATTTAAATGTGGCCATTACTACTGTCAGGATTTCATGGAATAAGTGTATAATATATTGCATGTATTCTTCGGGTGCGAGCGTGGATTTATGAACAAAAGGCGCTGCAGTCTAATCTTATTCTCTTTAATTAAGTGTTTATGTTTTATATGTCCTTTGTAAATTAATTGCCAACTTTTGATCTCCCCGTTGTTCAGCTTGGGTAACGATCCTACTCTGGGATTCAGCTAACAGGGGAGAACACGTTAAAATAATGGTGTGACTATTTGAGACGGCATGGGCCATTCTAAAGTAATGCCTAACAACAGTATCAGGGTTTTTCTAAAGCTGGTTGTGTAAAAAAAAATTGAAAACAAAAAACACTTACAATAATAAGGTGCCACATATTTTCTTAATCACAAGAACCCCAACTAACAAGTAATGAATGTCAAACTCGTCAAAAAACAGATAAAATACTAAGGTGGAGTTCTCCAGCAAAATAATTTTAAGAAATATCTCTATGTTACTTTTGTAATATAATTGTAAAAATATTGTAAATAATTGATCTAATTTATTTGGGCTTAGGATTTGAAGTGTAAAAAAAAGAATTTATCAAGAGTACTGTACCAGCCAGTATCACTATTCTATTCTTAATTTGTTTCAAAAATAAATATCTAAACTGTGTGAAGCATTGTTCGTATGAATAATCCAGTCTAGGTGAAAAATTGATTAATTTTTTGGTGAACAAGTTCTTTCTTTTCTTTTAAAAAGAAAATGAAATATATTTGTGAGGGATTGTTCTGCCTTTTATACACGGAGGCAATTTTACAGATTATTTATAGAGGGATGATAATTAAATTTTGCTGACTGTTGGCAATAAATTTGGTATCTTACACCCTTCAATGAAATTGTCACTGCTTACATACCCATCATGAGCTGGTTCTTACTCAACTAAACTTCAAGACTTCAGTTTTTTAAGTTTTATTTTACAATAATAATATGTGGCTACAAATGTTTTCAATTAAACTTACACTGAGAATCAGAATTAATTCTTGATACTGCTACTTGAGTCCAGCTTCCTGGGGCTGCACCAATATCTATTACACATTGGCCAGGTTTCAATATAGAATGCTTATCATCTATTTGTAATAATTTAAATGCACTTCTACACCTGAAATCGGAAATACCTAAAATTAATATACCCATATAATTAATTTTAAGAATAGATTAACTTTAAACTCGTGTATATATTCTGTTTTATCCACTATTACCTATAATTTTTCATTTTAGCTTTTTCTACATATGGATCCGACTTTTGTCGGGCAAGCCATTCGTTAGAACTGTGTTCTCTCATAAAATATTTAAAATCAACTAAATTTTTACATATTGTTAATCTATTCATAGTTAATATTGTTGAAAAACAATAATTTTTACTGAGTGTAGAGATTTTGGAGTATTAGACATATGATTTTTTTCAGATATTCATTTATTAATCAATTAAATTAAAAAATCTAAGCATTTATATAAGATTATTTAAAATCATTAGGATATCCAAATATTAAAAATATATGTTTCTTAATTACACTAAAATTTTCAATTAAGATGTTTTGTTTAATTATTTACATCGATAAATATCGCTCGTATTGATAATAATTTTTTAGATACACGCTAATGAAAACTAGTTAAATGCGTATTGTTTTTAAAAAAATTTTGATAACTCATTATACTGATAAGCATTACAACAATTGTTGCGTAATTTTACACTGAAATATTTTGTTTTGAACATATATTTCTTAAGTTATAATTTGAAATGCCAAATATTGATGACAACATGTAATTGCAGTTTTGTGATTAATTGTTTTTGTTCTCAAGATTAATCTCCAATCGTTCGTCATATTATAATAAGTACATGAAATTTATGGTTTAAAGTAAATTGTTGTTGACCTCGTACTTAATTATTTATATACAAAAATATATCTATTATTTTATTTTAGATAAGTTTTAATTTCTTTAAATGTATATTATGGAACATGGATATGATGAGGATGTTTCACTCAATCAATTTTTGATATTCCTTTGCAAACATTATGAAAATAGTTTTTATGAAGCAATTCAGAATGAATGGCTCATATGTATCCCAAGAGAAGGTTCTTTTTCAAAAAATATATATTCTGAATTAGATATTAATGATCATATTCTGAAACCTAGGGCAGATTCAAATTTGAATTTTGATACACTTAGTGGTCATCAGGTTTCAATTAATAATAAAACGATTAAATGCAATGTTGAAAATAAAACAAGAACAGTCAATATACTGTTTATTGAAACTTGTTATACTGAAGATGGTCTCAGCTATAAAATAATTTGTATTGATGGGCCATTAACCAGTTCTTCTACCGTAGAAGATATAATAGTAATAAAGTCTGTGAGGGACTGTTCAATATTTTTATATTCTAAAAACAACAAAGTTCTATTAAAAGATTTAAGATTTATGATTGATACCTTCTTAGTATCCAATGATTTTTCTAACATGCATATAGATGAAAAAAAAAAAAAAATTAATATTCTGTATAAAAAGTGTTTTAAAAGAGCCTGTGATTATTTTAAACATCGTGGCAACTTTTTTCGGGATAATATAAAATTAGTTATAGAATATTATATACTTAATAAACTGTATACTACTTTAATAACTGATGTAAATATTTATGTAGCAAATGAAGATGCAATGTTAAATAAACTTATTCAAAATTACTCAAATGTTCAACTAGACTTAGAAGTTGATAAAGATACAGAAGTTGTGATACCAAGTGCCAGATGTGAATTATCTAAACTTAATATTCATAAGTCTATTATTGGAAAATATAAATGTTTAAAAGATACATTTTTAATGTTATCTAATGGAAATGAACATTTTAGTGTTGACAATCTTTTGAATGCATTAGTAAATCTTATCTTACATTGTAAAATATCTAACTGGAATGCACAAATTCATTTCATGAAGCATTTTACAATGAGTGGTATCAAAGAATATGATGACAATTTTTATTTAACCTGTTTAGAAGCAGCTATTGAACATATAAAGACATATAATTTTAAAATTGAATTGTATATTAATTCGAATGACTCAAAGTTTAATAATTTATATAATTTAATTCGTAATGGAGATTATCAAAAGATCAAAGAATTATTGAACTATGTAAAAAGTCAAAAGTCTAATTTAATGTGTCATCCATTGTGCGAGTGTGATAGCTGTATGAAACAAATACAAATGCAACCAATAGTTTGTGTAAACTTTAAAGATGATCAGGGTCTTACACCTCTTCATATTGCAGCTTTTTATGGAAATCCTCTTGTTATTGAATTACTATTAAAGTATGAATCAGATATAAATGCATTGGATAACTTTATGCGAACACCTGTTCATTATGCTGCCCTAAGAGGACATCAAAATGCTCTATTATTTTTATTGCATAATAAAGCTATAATGAGTGGTGATAATGAAGGAAATACTCCTTTACATTTATGTTGTTTAAATAGTCATGAAGCTTGTGTGAAAGCTTTACTCTATTTTATGGAATTTTCTGATTTAAATTTTGATATAAATGTTCAAAATAATCAAGGTAACACATCACTTCATTTGTGTTTTAAATGGGGTTATTCAAATATTGTTGAAATTTTACTTGAACATAAAGGTGATCCTACATTGTGTAATCGTAGAGGACAAACATGCTTAGATTGTGCTCATAATTTAAAAATGATAAATATGTTTTCAGCATTGAAAAAAAATAGCATAGAATGTGTTAGAAAGCGAAGTGTTGAAGTAATCAATTTACAAAGAGTTATAGATAAAATATTAACTGCAATAACTGATGGAGATATACGGTTGGCTCAGTACTATTTAAAAATTGAAGATGAGAATCACTGTACAAATGAGTGCATGTTTGTTAATAGTGCAAATATTAAAGGTTACACGCCATTACATATAGCTGCCATGTATGGACAAAATAGTATATTGAATATGTTAATTAAGCATGGAGCAGATATAAATGCAGAAACTAATAGTGATAAATTTACTCCGTTGCATTTAGCTGTACAGAATTTTATGCACAAAAGTATTATAATTTTACTAAGTACCAAAAAATGTGACATAAACAAACAAGATAGTAGTGGTAGTAGTGCTTTGCATTATGCTTGCTCTAATGGATGCAATGTTGATATTATAGTATTACTTCTTAAAAATGGTGGAGATTTGGGAGTGATTAACAATATGTTCACTAGTGCATTAGATATCCTGAACAAAAATTCAGAATTAAGGTATATTAGCAAGCTTAAAATATTTAGTTCCTTTTAATTATAAATTGAAATCAATTAATTTTTATTTAGTCTAATTTATTTTTCAACGAAAAAAATATTATCTGTTAATGGTGTAATAATTATGTATTTATTAAAAAAAATTGTTTTAGGCAAATGGTTTTAATGAAACAAAAAGTACATTAATTAAACATATTTCTTCTAAAATTTTTATTAAATGCAATGATGTAACATTCAGATATGGACAAATGAATGAACTAAAGAGACTGCTAATAACTTTTAACATTTTTTTTTTTATAATTTGTTTTAGTATTATGTATAAGTATAATATATTTATAGTTTTGTTATTTATTTTTATAATTTATGTATGTTATTTTTTCATTCTAAGTTTATGTTAATTTCTTAAAGTTTTTTATAATAAATAAAAATACATTGAATCTTGAATTATAATAATAGTTATTTATTATAATTATTAATCAGTATGAAATGGAAGCTGAACTCCTCTAAATTCTATACAAATCTTTATAGTGTAAATGATAATTTCTGACCTATTAGTAGTTTTGAAAGTATTTATTTTCTAGCTTAAATTTATGGAAGAGATTTTAATTTCTTCTTTCATACTTTCTAATTAATACCATTTTTTTGTCTGGAAATTTTATTTTTGTTTTATCTACTTAATATTTTAATATGAAATATTTCCATACATAATAAATAAAGTGTGGATTAATATGATTATATAAATTTTGTTTTAGCCATTTTAAAAGAACTCAAGTTTGTGCAAATTTGTTTTATTAATTTAGGAAGGAATAATGCCCCCTAATCCCTTTAACTCTAGTTAGATCACAATACTTTGTTTTCAATCCTAATAATACAAATTTGTACTGGATGATGATTTATTTAGAATAATTTAACAAAATTTATAAATCTGCTCTCTAATCACAAATTTTTAAAATGTTGAATATAATAATTTTTCTTAAGGTATGTAACTATTTATCCTTAGTAAACAAGAGTTAATAAAAAAATTAATATTTGAATAAAATGATAGTATAATTTTTATACTTTGTATGACATAAATTGAACTTGACTAAAGAATATTGTGGCGGTTATTTAACGTAAATTTTAATTTTTGCATCAGGTGGTTGGGTTTATAGTAAGGGAGTTATTACACATGGATTATTTTTATTATTAACTCATAAATGAAGTATTTATCTGGTTTGACTTATTGAATTTTATAAATAAATTAATGTTAAAACAATTTAAGCATTTATCGGGTGTAAAGATACAATCACATAACTATCAATTTAACGAAATATTATTGATAACTGTTAACAATAAAATAATCGAAGGGATAACTAAATAAACTGAATTTGGTTACATTTGTTAGACTTATCATTTAATTAATTCTAATTTTGTACTTAAAGTAATTCTAGTTTGATTGCTTAATGGCTTCAGTTATATCATGTTTTAAAAGATGCTTTGATAGCTTAAAGTACACAGAACATATAGCAAATCTTGATTTAAATTCTATCAGTCTGGATACTAGTCGAATGGGTCTGTTTAACATAATTATTATTGATTTTATTTAATATTTACTTTATTATAGGCAATGAAGTAGTAATTGTTAAAAATGGTACAAGAATTTGTGGAAGTGGTGGTGTATTATGTTCTGCTCCATTAGTGCAAAATAAATCATATTTTGAAGTTAAAGTACAACAGTCTGGTAAGCATAGAGTAAATAATAAGTTATATGTGTATTTTAATATATCTAAATTTGAATAATTGTAGGTATTTGGGGAGTTGGTTTAGCTTCTTATGATGTAGACTTAAGTAAAGCGCCAGGTGGTCATGATCAATACTCTTGGGTTTTATGTAATGATGGTGCACAAAGGCACAGTCAGCAAGTTATAAAAGCTATTGATAATAATATAAACGAGGGTGATATTATTGTTAGTATATCTAAATAAAAATTGTCCATTAATTTGTATGAAAAATAATTTTTTTCTAGAGTGTTTTTTATGATCATGTTGAATTGAATTATTCAATTAATGGTCTTCCAGTTAATGAACCAATTACAGGGATAAGAGGAACAGTGTATCCGGCGTTATTTGGTAAATGTACTGTAATAAATAGTAGAAGAGTAATCAAAATAATTTTAGTTTTTAATTTTTTAAGTGGAGAAAGTATTAATTTTACTATGATGTGTTTTTTTTTTGTGTCTGTTACCACTTTTTCTCAACTCTCACTGAACCAATTTCTTTCAACGATATATTAAAAGATCATAAATTGTATCTAATCAAAAATTTACATTTAAAAATTGAAAAAATTTCCGTCGTTACCCGTTAATGTGGAAAATCTCCAAAAAAAATTACAAATTTAAAAATCGCAAATTTTCGACATTTTTTCAACTTTTTAAAAATAACCAAATCAAAATAATTTTTTTTTTATAGATACATGAGGTATTTACCTATCATTTTGTTTATTATTTATTATCAATCTGACTCTTTTCCTGCCTACTTGGGGGTATTCAAAATGACAACTTTTTTACAAAAAATTAACTTTTGAAAGTGTTCCTGAAGTACTGACACTTTTATATATATCTTAAATTAAAGCTAATGTAATATACTGTATTTAGAAAATAAAAATTTCGGACTCTATTTTGTCTTCACTATGAAAGTGGCTACTTCATACTATTTATGTGTTAAAACTTTTGATTTTATATTTTACATTCTTAACTTTATATTTCTAAAACTTTTTGAAAAATATATGGATTAATACAATTTTTTTTTTTGAAATATTGCATCAAGACCTTCAACTTTTATATATACGATCGCTATATAAGTAATAACTACTTTATAAATTTTTATAAATTCTCTATAAAAATTAAAATTTAAAATTATTAAATATCAATTTCATACTATATTTTTTTTTTCCCGACCGGCATAAGTGTGGACCACCCTGGAACTACCGTTAGGTATTACTTCAGAATGGTCCATACCGTCTCTAAAACTCACACCACCACATTGTGAATCAGCCCGAAATTAATCAAGAGCTGATTCACAACGTGGTGTGGCCTTCCCCGTTAGCCGGATCCGTTGCCCAGGTTGCACCACGTGGTGGTGGGGGCAGGACTTTGCGAGGGGGGAAAATAATTCACAAAAACATAAACACGAATACCTAAGGCGCCGGCCTAAACCAGCGCCTCAGTATACTATATTTAATTGCTATAATAAATATTTATACATATATTACACTCATAAATTATAAAACTTGTAATCAGAATATAAATAAAGAAATAAGAAATCATGTTGATTTGAAATAATCTACCAATTTTTTAAAATTAAACACTATCTACATATTTGTATCATAGTGATAGTGATTTTAATCACTGTTAGATTAAATCTATATTGGACTCAACTATGCCATGTTGCGACCCCTTTTTGCTGGGTTTTTTCAATTATAAAGTTGGATATAATTTTTCTTTTTTTGTAGTAAAAATACTTAAACACAAAATCAAAAATCGTACCAAATGTAACTTTAAGTTAAAAAGTACTTTTTATGATTTTTTATTTATAAGATAGGCAATTGGTCAACTAATAATTAGTCCCTGTGAAGGTTCTATAATAGCTCCTCTTAGTAATGCTTGTAGTACCTGAATGTATTCTAAAATATCAGAAGATTAAATTTTAATTTTAAAATGTTATAGCTAGAAACTATTTTTGGTTAAACCATTGGTGATTAACAGATTTACATAAAAAAAAAATTTATTTATTTATTTAATAATTTAAATTAAATTTTTATTTCTTGAAATATAATAAATTGTATTAAAATGTTGGGAAACAACTTTGATCATAAAATATTGATTAAAATAATTTATTACTATGTTTAGAATTTTTTCATAAGATTATATACTAAAATGTTTAAACAATCCACTCAAATATTATAATTATTTACAAATATTTCATGATTTATTAGTTAATAATTACATTTTTGAATTCTTTTAGCTTAAACAAGAGTTAAATTTATTTTTATTAAATGGCAAATTACATATTTAAATAGCTTATAAAATGGGAAATTATCTATTAAAAAAAGTGACTGATTGATAACACCTTTTAAACCAGTATTTCACAAGTTATTAATAATTTAAAGTGAAGACTTGAGGTAAAGAGTGGGTGCTGTTCTTTTATCACTAGTCATTATTCTTTGCAATGCCCAGTGGCATGCCCAGGGGGGGCGTTTGGGGTCATATCCCTTCCCATTGCGTTTTTTTCTAGCACCTAACAGCAATAATTGAATAAAGTTGTAATTATTACATTATATATTTGTATAACAACATTACATCATATCATACAAAACACAAAATAATAAATATTTTAATGAGACTTGACCTCTAAAGCCCCTTTATTAATCTTTTTCTAATTTTTTCACCTCATTAAATGTATTTAGTTGTATTAATACTTATTAGTTAGACATCCCTCTCTATTTAAAATTCCTGGGCACGCCACTGGCACCGCCTAGATATAAAAATTATTTTAAAAATTAACTATTAGCTATTAAATAAAAAAATATATGCAAATAAAAGTAATAAAAAAATATTTTTTCAATAATGTATTTATTTTAAGAGTAATTGAGTTGTTTGTGATAAACCTATCATTGTGTATAGTAGAAAAGTGCATTTTTCAAATTTCTATTTTAAATAATTTCACAAAAATAGTTAAAATAAAAAATTATTATTATTTTAAAAGTATCCCTATGTTTGAATAAATTAATTTGTTTTATTTGATTTATTTATAAATTTACTATGCTATTTTTTTTTTAGTGGATGATGGTGCAATATTAGATATTATATTGGAAAAATTTTCGTATCCACCTTCAAATGGTTATGATAAAATTATGTTAGAGCAATCTATTTTATGAAAATATAATTTATAAATTAAAATTTAATTAACATTCCCAAAGATATTTTATTCCATTTGTGTCAACAATTATGTACTTATAACTTTTTAAATATTTTATGTGTACAATATCTATAAATCTCATTGTATGTGCTTGTATGATGTTTATATTATAAAAAGTATTTCAAGTATATTTATAAATTTGTAATATAGTGTATTAATCACTATTATATGTATATGTATTTGTGTCTCTCTATTTTTAAATTAGTCTGAATTTCTTAATTATTTGAATGTATTTTTTAAGTTTTATAAATAATCTCTTTTTTTTACTATATTATGATTTTATATGACAATCTAGAAATTATTTTAATAAGCCATGACCATTATCTCCATTAAATTTATTTTAGTAACTTTTTTGTGCTATATTCATTGTGTTGAATGTAAAATTAAGTTATGAATATCATAGTTTTATTACTTTAAAAAATTATTGTATATTTTTTTAAATATTTAAATATGTTTAATATTATTATTAAAATAATAATGGGTCTATAATTAAACATTTAAAATGTTAAAATAAATTAATATCTATTTATATAATATATATATATATATATGTTTTTATAATATTATTGTGATTAATTTAATAATTACTACTCAATTATATTGTATCTAAGTCTTGTAAATTATATCTTTTTCTAAATTACAAGTTTCTTATATTATAACTTTTTAAGTAAAATTTAATTTGTTTGAATAATGATAATTAGACCTATAATAATTGAAAGTTAATACTTGTTTTTTTAAAAATTCATTTTTTTATAATTTTGAATTATTTCAATTTTATGTTTAAAAAAATTATAATAACTTATAGTACACAAATATGGTTTAATTAACTTATTACCTTATCTATTCAAACATGAATATTGTATTCATCATTTAATAAAGGCTAACCTATTTGACCGCTCCTTTATTTAAAACTTTTTTTTCACTTCATGTTTTTGAAAAAAAAGTCATTTATGTTTAAATGTTACTACTGTACTATCAAAAGAATAAAAAAATTTTATAAAGAAAATAAAAATAAACAGCAGATGTGTTTAGTTAGGTCAAGTTATGAATAATTTGATTAACCCTCACCGTGGGAACGAAAAACAAACAGAATTTGAGTGTAAACACTCTAAACAAAATTTAAAAATAAAATCAAATACGATAGTTTGATTTCTTAAGTCAAAACGAAATTTATAGCAAAAATAGAACAGTGAGACGTGAAATTTTGTCAAATATCAATTATACAACAATTCAAAAAAGTCAAGACAACAAAAAAATGAAATCCGGTCTTTGGCTCACGTGATTGTTAATGTTTGTAGCACGAACGGATTAGATATTAAAATATTTAATTGTACTGTTAAACAATAAAATAATTAAGGTAAGTTAAACTATTAATCGCACCAGTCAAAAAAATATAAAAATACCATGGATGGTTTAAATATTAATAGAAAATATTATGTCAATACCAACAAAAAAAATCAAATTCAGCTGAATAACAAAATTATGTAACCTTCAATATGACTATAATTTTCATTAAACTTAAGAATAGAGTTAAAATAAATGAAATCATTAATATTGGTAAGTTAATTAATATCTAATAATCTGATTGAACTTGATATTTAAGTTAATTTTACCTCATTTACCGCATTATGAGTATAACATGAAATAAAATTGCAGTGTGAATACTAACAAAATAAAGNTTATGAGTATAACATGAAATAAAATTGCAGTGTGAATACTAACAAAATAAAGCTGTCGGTAAAAATGATGTGATCACAATGATGCGATTAAATAATTTCTTCGGATATATCCAGAAAATGTTTATCAGCTACAAGCTGAAAATTCAAATTACAAAATTTGTAAAAAAAAAACTTGGGCTGGCCTTGTGATAAAATTCAAATGTTCAAATTTTTCACCAGAGAAAAATGCAAAAAATATGTAAGTCTAAAATAACAAAATTTGTAATTGGCTTGCCCAGTCCAACGACTGAAGCATAGGGATATCATTATAATGATAATATTAATTTAAGTATGAGTTTGTACATATTGCAAGAATATTGAATTTATAAAATTTAACATTAAGTTAAATGAGTAAAATAAAGTAATAAAATTAAAAATAAGTCAGTTCGTTACTTGTTCAAAAGTAAGTTAGAAATTAAATCAGGACTAGCCATGTCAAATCAAATGACGAATGAAAAAAAAAAAAATTAAACCGAAATAAGTCGACAGATAGTCGTATAATTACTCGTAATTTTACATAGATGACTTTAATTTAATTTGTTGGTAAGAAGAAAGATTGTGCTAAAAATAAAATGCTCATGCACTTGAATAAACTGTAAGTTAAACTGTCTGGATAATCAGTAGATGTCAGTAGAAGTCCGATAATCCGGCATCCAACAGTAGAACAGTAGAACAAACTTTTTTGCATTTGCATACTGTATTTTTAGTTTAATTATTAACGTAATTGTTCTTATAGCAAAGCCTACACTAAAAAAAGAAAGGGCACCGCCCAATAGACCGACACGGAGCCCGTCCCGAACGTGCCGGATTATCGGAATTCTACTAATTATATAAAAAAACCCACCACAGGGGGGTCGCGGCACAGTGGTGATGTGGCATAGTTGGATCAAGTATAATGATATCTGACAGTGATTAAAATCGCTATAAAAAAAAACGCTTCGATGCAAATCTTTAGATAGTGTTTAATTTTAAAAAATTGATGGATTATTCCAAAAGTTACATGATCTGTTATTTTCTTATTAATATCCTGAATAAAAAAGGGATTATTAAAAAATATTATTTCTCATAAAAAAATTGTATTTATCCATACATTTTTCAAAAAGTTATAACATTTTAAAGTAAAAAATGTAAAATATAAAATCGAGAATTTTGGCACAAAAATAGCATTCGGTAGCCATTTTCACCAAAATGAAAATCTATATTTCGATTTTTTTATTTTCATAGTTAAGTATATAATATAAGCTTTAATTTAAGATTAAATAAATGTGTTAATATTTCAGGAACATTTNCAGAGGTCAAATTTTTTTTTTTTCAAATTAAAGTATATTACATTAGCTTTAATTTAAGATATATATAAAAGTGTCAGACTTTCCGGAACATTTTTAAAAGTTAAGTTGAAAAAGTTAATTTTTTGTGAAAAAGTTGTCATATTAAATTCCCCCCTGTGGGCAGATAAAGGGTCAGATTTACAAAAAAATATACCAAATGATAATTAAAGACATCAAGTATCTATAAAAAAAAAGAATTATATTGATCCATACATCTTTCAAAAAGTTATAGCATTATAAAGTTAAAAATATAAAAAAGAATTTTTTTACAAAATTCGTATTTGTTTTATTAACTTTAATGTCTGTTTTTACCATGAAGATAAAGTAAAGTCCGAAATTTTTTTTTTCGATAATAAAGTATGTTACATTAGCTTTAATTTAAGATATATAAAAAAAGGTCAGTATTTCCGGAACACTTTCAAAATTTAAATTGAAAAAGTCAATTTTTTATGAAAATGTTGTCATTTTGAATCCCCACCTGTAGGCAGGTAAAAAGTCAGATTTATAAAAAAATATACCAAATGATAGGTAAAGACATCATGCATCTATAAAAAAAAAAATTACTTATCCATACATTTCCAAAAAGTTATAGCATTATTAAGTTAAAAATATAAAAAACGGTAGCACAGTGGGGTCGAGGCACAGTGTGGACGAGGCCTAGATGGGACAAGTATAGATGATATCTGACAATGATTAAAATCACTATCATAAGAAACGCTTCGATGCAAATCTGTAGATAGTGTTTCATTTAGAAAAATTGGTGGATTATTCCAAAAGCAACATCAACTCTTATTTATTTAATTGTATCCTGATTAGTAGTTCTTTGATTTAAAAATATAATATATGAATAAATACTAATTATAGTTTTTAAATTCAGTATGAAATTGTGAGGCCAGCTATGATGTATGGTTCATAGTGTTGGGCGGTNTGTGATGTATGGTTCATAGTGTTGGGCGGTTGATAAGAAAGTCATGCTATGAGGAGAGAAGAATCGGAAGCTGTAAGAACAGTTATAGAAATGAATGTTGAAGGAAGAAGAGATAGAGGAAGACCAAAAAAGAGATGGAGGGATGCTATTGAATGCGATTTGAGGACAGCTGATGTGAGCNTGGAATGCGATTTGAGGACAGCTGATGTGAGCGTAGAAGATGTGGGAGATCGTGTCAAGTGGAAGCTTAGGATAAGGGTGGCCGACCCCCAAGTAGTTGGGATTAAGGCAAAGGCAAAGAAAATGAAAATGATTACCAGAAATTCCGGTGACAATTGACATAATATGATTGTTGTTTGGGAATATACAATTTAGCGTTTAGTTGGGTTTAAACAATATAGTGTCAAATCAATTACCTACTCTATCGGTTGTATCTCAATATACACTACNCCATCGGTTCTATCTTAATATACACTATACTTAAATGATACTATAAATAAATAAACTCACACATACACACGTATGCATTTATAACATTGTGTCTAATGTATAACATGAT